AGGGCCCTCCGCCCAAATCCTTTTAGCCTTTTTGCCTACTCGAGGTCCTCTATCGAATGATGTATGAACGAACGAAATCGGAGCCGGACACCTGGGGCGGTTCCCTCGTAAGAAAGTAGGAGATATGATTAAAATAAAAGTGTCCGATTTTATCTGTCATTCACTCGATGTATTATATTATTCAAGATCCTCAATAGGAGAAAAATATGTCGTATTTTTAGCTCCAGAAAAAAAAGTAAAAGATCAAAAGCATGCCAATAGGTCAATTTCTTATTTAATTAAGAAAACAACAGATTTTTGACAAGCAAAAAACGTCAAATATTAATTCATTAAAAAAGAAATGAATAAGTAGATAAATGCGGTGAGATTAACGAAGAATAACGAAACAAACAAAATAAAACAGACAAATACATTTTATTTGTTTACGTTACTTATAATAAGCATATCACGGGTATTGAATAAAAAATATGTAACTAACTAATTCATTCAATAATACAGTATAAATTTAGGGGATAAATGATGAGAAAAGAAATAACATAACATTGAACAGTTATATCACATCTATCACTAGAAAATCGCATTAAAAAAGAGCATATTTGAACTGTTCGACAGAGATATCACATCTGCCTGTTGTATGTTAATGGACTTCTTTATGAATTCATAGTTGAAATAGCATCTAAATTTCATTACCCAAGTTACAAGAATGTTCATGAGCTATGTACGTATTTTAGTCTCTTATAATATTCTAGTGTTGTCGGTCGATACAGCTGGGAATATGAAAGTTGTTGATGTCTTTATCGTAGATAGTAACTTGAGCTATTTAGAAAAATCGAGGGATATTCTGTTCTACATACACATATACTAATATCAATACTAATATTAGTTGTTATAAAAAAAAGAAAAAAGAGTTGACATCAAAAACAGGAAACACAATTCAACGTTGACAAATAAAATAAAAAAAAAAGACGTAAAAAAATATCGGTGAAGGTAATTATAATCATTCTCGTTTCTTCAGATCTAATCCTTTTACTTGTTGTAGTCCAGTTACCATTAGATTTCCGTTCATTGAGTCTTTTTTACTAATAACAGTTGTAGACGATGACGAAGAAGAACCGGATATCGGAGTTAATGTTGTTGATAATAAATGAGATGTTGTACCCGGTGGAGTTTTTGTACGATGAAATGCCTCAGACTAAAAATGAGAGAAGAAAAAACAAGATATAATTGTGTTTTTGTTGAAAAATCAGACTTTTATACTTACTATAGCATCGATCCAATTATTGAATAGTAAGCCACATGATAAATTCTCAAATGGCATCAATGGATCATATTGTTTATAAAAAATGGATATGATTTTAACGTAAATAAATGCGGTAGCAATGCATAAATAAATTAATTCACGATCAAAATTAATCAATGAATAACGATCCATTGTAAATACAATCGCTGCTATTACACATGCTTTAGTCGCACTAAACAAAAAAAAATTAAGATGATGAGTACGCATTGATGATAGACTTTCTATTACATTTTCAAGAACAAGACTTCATTTTGAGAAATAAATTACCATTGTCACATTTCTAGTATTCAATCTGTCCATGATGATGATTTTTTCCGAAGAAAATCTATGATCTAATGATAAATATTAATGTCCTTTTTTGTAACTACTTTTTAGCAATTAACCGCGTAGACCGGCTGATTCTATTAAGGGGTCGATCAGTATATATTTAATCGCCACTATCAAGTTCGAAATTTATTGAGAATTTTTCTATTGATGTTCAAGGGCTTATATCCTGTCAAAAAAATGTATCGCGATAATCATAAGCCCGATCTAAATGAAACTTTCAGACAATGTTGACTTTACGATTATACACTTTCGATAAAATTTTCGAGATGCGATCTGCTACCGTTTTGGAGATGTCGATCGATTAGAGATTAGAATGGGACTATCCTTAGCTGTATGATTTCTCAATAATAAAATGTCATGGTGAACGTCGGATTGACTTAAAATGACGAAAACACACGTCACAGTGGGCAATCATGTGGACATTAAGTGGAAAATTGAACGTGCCCATTTTAACGATTCAAATCGTGCTACATATATACTTCGGATCACGGGCTATTTAACGGCGTAAAATTTTTTGCCACAAGTGGTAAATTTACGAAAAAAATGCACGACTAAAAAATAGTCCGTATTTTTATGACCTCTATGGAAAAACAAGTTTTTTCTTAAATTTTACCATTTTGAAATTTGCAAAAGTATATATTCGGATCTCTACCACTCGATGTTTCTCGAATAACGAAACACGAACATTCGACACTATCAGCGAAGAAAACGGATTATTTTAGACACCAGTTTTCCTTTAAGATTTTGTTTTAATACTTAATGTAAATAAGAGTAGATGTGAACGAATAAGCTGGAGATATTCCGTTAAACCATATTTGATCATTCTGAGAACTTTTGTTGTTTGACCAAAGAGAGAAACATTTTTTCAGCTCATAGAAAGTTATAGGTGATATACGTACGAGTTGAATGTTCAATCTTAAACATTAGTAGGTTTTAGTTAACTAGGAGATCCAAGTCCGAACTCGAACTCGAAGTGTTCAAACCCGAACTCAATCTAAATCTGAAATACAAAACCTGAACCAAATTCAAGCCTACTGAATCCGAACGTTCGAATTTGGTGCATCCTTACCTTTTAGCTAAATTTTTCTTTCTACGCTAAGTGCTTTTCGAGGTATAATAAGTTTCCGAATGTTTCCGAAGCTCCAAACTGATGGAAACCTTAACAGATGTTCTTCTTCTCAGTTTATTTTATTCTTCTAAATAATGATAAACATCATAAGTCAAAAATTCGAAAAAGTTTCATTAACTAATACAACGATCTTTCTCTAACCAAAATCTAGGTTGAATAGCACAAATCAGACTCTGTCAGCCTCTAATCACATGTGTAAACTTCAGTATACGATCAAGACGAACTCTCGACCAATTAACTTGACGAAAAATACGAAATGTTTCAATGGTCAATATCAGTTTTGAAAAATTACGGTTATTAAAGTCTCGTACATGTTTTACGGCTTTTAGCAAAACTCTCATAACCTTTGAATAAAATATAACTCAGTGCTAGAAGGCATTCTGTTTCGATCAGAAATATTTTCTCTAGTGCCTAGTATTACTGGAAATATTATTAGATATGACTTTTTACTGTAGGACTACAATTTCAAGAAAAGTGAGTTTTTCAATTCTTTGAGAATCTTTGATGAATTCTAGATCATTATAAATTTTGATAGAAGACATCGTAGTTATCGGATGATATACTTATCTCGATATCGACATTTTACAAAAACAGTTTATGTTTTTGATGCAGAGGGAAGGAGTCTTAAACGAATCACTATCATGATATATCACACATTATGCTTTCAACTTACAATGTAGGATATAAGAATTCATGTTGAGTTGGTAACCATACACCTCGCACGAAACGATCAATCAATACCATGACTGAACCACCACTACCTAACAAAATGAAAGAATGAAAATTGTTTTTATTATTGTACTTGGCATACATTTTTACATTGACCAACCTTTGACTGTTCCAATAACAACACTAATGATGTAAGAGTCTGGATAAATATTCAGTGTATGTTGTACACCATCATAAACTTTTTTTGTTCGTTGAATTTCTTTTATAATACCAACAAATAATTTAATTGGAGTAAATTTTAATAGTTTATAGATTAAATCAAAGGGAGAATAAAATACCAGATACCTAAAAGACATATGAAAATGAAATAATTCTAAATACTATTATGCATTTTTAAAAAGAAAATCAAAAACTGTATATTTCACTCATTTCTCGTTCAAATAGACTCAAATTTTCAGGAAATGATTAGCAAAGATCATAGAATGTCGAACTAGTCGAAAAAGTTGGATCTGAACTTTGGTTGTGTGGGAGGTTTTCCAGAGGTCCGCTAAAAACCCGTATGCATAAAATGAAAACTTTATGTAACTTTTTGGATCAGTTCGACATTCTGTGATCTCTCCTAATAATTTCCTGAAAATTTGAGTCTATTTGAACGAGAAATGAGTGAAATATACGGTTTTTGATTTTTGCCGGTAACAGGCGAAAAAGCGGATTTTCATCAATTTGGCTTTGTTGAAGTTCTAGTTGAGTGGAGAATGAAACAAACATCGCCACGATGATCAGTGTGGTCGATTACCTATGATTCACGTGGTTTTGAGATTTCCAGACGTGTCCTCCGAAATCGTCTGTATGTACGGAACCAAATGAGAAAGGTCTGGGCCTTGTGTGGTTTTGAGGAGTGATATCCTGACTATCGAATGGTGTTATTTGAGATTAGATTTCATAGTGTGGTTTGGGAACAGTAAGCATTCAGATTTTGTCTCGAATGGATCTCTATCTCTTTTCGTTAAAAAGTTATTAGCACTTTTGCTCAAGGATCTTCTTTTTAAAAACGGATAATAGATAAATAACTTACCAACAGAGTGAAGCTAATATCAAATGTTGATGGTGTTGAAAATCTTTAATAGGAGGTTCACCAAGTAAAAAATTTGCTAATATAGAGCCTGAGAAACATAATAACATGGACGATAACCAACAGGAGAATGGATGACGACGAGAAAAATTTTGGATGTCTAGAAGATATAGACAAGTATTAGAAAATAAGTTTGAGTGTACCATAGATAAAAAAAGTCGATAAAAGACTACTAGTAGTAGGAGCAATAAGACAGTATTTTTGTCCATGATCTTTTGCAACATTTATACATCAGCATTTATATTCAAATCTCAGGGAAATAAACTATTTTCGCTCCTGGGTATTCATAAAATTTTTTCATTCTTATTTTAACAAGTCAAATGGTATCCTCTCGTTTCGTCCCATTTTTTTTTTTAATTCGCTCTTGTGTCGTCTCCTCTCATTTTGTCCCATTTCCGTTTCGTTCCTTATATTTTCTATTTTTTATTTTATTTTATAACCCTCTATTTCGTTCTATCAACTGTATACTAATCAATGGTTTCATTTACTATTTTATTTACAAGTTACATGAAAGACGATAATTGTTTTGATCCCGTATACTAAAATTTTGATAAAAATAGCAGAAATGATCTCGAATTTAGAAAAAAATATATTTTCGACAGAATTTATCCACAGTATAAACTAATTTTTATTGTGCAAACTTGATCCCGGAAAACTTTTTTCTTTCTATCAACAATAGAACTGATCCCGATTGACGTCTGCAGTGGTTACATAAGATCCTCTTTACAGCCCTGCAGGTTACAACTTTTTCATAACCTATAACTTGTCCTGTAAAAATTTTCGTAACCTATAATTTATTCTAAACTGCGAAGTCATAATCTAGACCTGTCCTAACCTGCCTGGACAGGACAGGTTATGCGTGACCTGCAGGACTCTAATTCTCTTCCCCAAAGCTCTTCGCTGATTTCAGTACTGTGAACATTTACATGTAACTGATAAACCAGCAATGAATTGTTCAGTTCGATTTTTGCAGACAATTTGAATTTTGATAAAACTAAATAAATCAGTTTCGTTAGTATACGTAACAACTAATAGTCATGTCTTGCGAGTCATAGTTTGTTTAATAGTGATCATAATAGTCAAAAGTGATGTGAGTGGCACAGATGTGACCACTGCACATTGCTATTGTTTATATCTCAACGCCATGCAGGCTTCTTTACACTCGCACCACACGTCCACGGGGATCAATTCTGTGGTTGACCAGAAAGAAAAATGTTTTCCGGGATCAATTTTGCACAATAAATATAAAAATTAGTTTATTCTGTGATAAATTCTGTCGAAAATATTTTTTTTCTTAAATCTGCGATCAAAGTTTTCATTCTACTTTGTTCCTTACATAAAACAGGTAGTTTTACAGTATTAACACATTTGCCACATTTAATTTCAAGTTCAGTTCCAGATAAAACACCATGTTCATATCTTTCAAAATATTCTTTCAATTTATTATTACAATTATCATTGATTTTCTTACGTTTTACTGTTTTTGCTAATAAGTCTGTGTAACGTATATTCATTATTTTCCTGTTTGAAACTGAACGGTTCATGCCCAAACTCCGCACACTTTCATCCAACCAACCCACCCACCCCCCGCCTTTGAAGATTCTTTGATCTCAATTTGAAATTAATTAAAAGTGTGCGGAGTTCGGGAAGTAACGAACTGAACTTGTATTTAAATGTGGCAAATGTGTTGATACTGTAAAACTATCTGTTCCATGTAACTTGTAAATAAAATAGTAAATGAAACCACCATGATTAGTATACAGTTGATAGAACGGAATAGAGAGTTATAAAATAAATAAAATAATAGAGAAAATATAAGGAACGAAATGAGAGAGAAGGAAACGAGAGTAAATCAGTCAAATTGCTACGGATCACATGTAATCAATCATATTGACCTTAGAATGAGGTTGAATGAATAAACATGAGGATTACTCTTGACTATTTTTGACGATTTATTTTTGTTTTGATATCTTTGACTATATTAACCTTCTCCTATCCACAACAACATGATTTTTCTTGCTTTATTTAATACAAGTGGATTTGATCGATAAAAAGTTGTTTTTGTCTCTGTGACAATGAAGAAATTTGTTAAAAATGACATGGTACTCTTCGTTGTTTATGAATTAGTAATTTACTATCACTTGAAGCTGTCGACTAAAGCTAATTAGACAGATCGAACGAGTCCTAAAACCTATCTAAAATCTTTATGTTTGATTCTTCTACTCGACCGTGAATTCTCGAACAGAAATTCAAAAAATGATTTAATCAGCTGGAAGCGTTTCCAATGAGAAAATGCACGACAATTCTATAAAAGTAGGTAAAATTAGTTTCCTGAAAAAGGGAGAAAAAAAAATAGACTTTGAGAGGACTGGAATCTCATGCTGTCCAGAAATGTTTGCTGAATTTGGCTGATAAGGGAAGGATCCGCACTGTCAAATCGTTTTTGGCTTGAAACATACATTTTTGTAGGCTATCGAGAATGCTAATTTCGAATCTGAACTCCACTTGTGCCTTTAGTGAATTTTGGAGTGAATCTCTGAAAATTCGATCTATGGAGAACTCGGTTTTACAACAGAATAAAAATGTTTTGAGTCTATCATTTTGTAGAAAATCAAAAACTCAGTGTATTCTGAAGCCTTGAGTTCTTCGAGAGACAAATGAAAAGTGTAATCGAACTTTTAAATTCAATTTCGGCCTGACAGATCCGTTAGAACTATTTCTGAACGCAATAACTCGCGTCCTGGAAGCGCTAAAACTTGTAAAATATACTCAGTTTTCGATTCTTAACAAAATGACAGACTCAAAAAAATTTTGTTCAGGTGCAAAACCGAGTTGTCTAGAGATTCACTCCAAAATTCACTAAGGGCACCAACGGAATTCAAATTCAGAATAAGAATTAAAAGATTTCCTAGACAACAAGAGTGAAGCATTTTATTCGATATAAATGCTGATTCTGACCATGCACAAATTTTGCAAAAGATCGTGGACAACAAAAGACTGTTTTATTGTCATTAGATTTTTGTTCATAAACGAGTGTACCTTAGTTCTGAGATAATGTAGTTTATTTTTACATAGTTTTGACTAAACTGTACACCGGTTTCGATCATTACTGATACAATAACACTAATATCTTTACTAAACAAAAAATTCGTATACTCTTATGAAACTTCTCTAGACAGATGTCTTATTTTTCAACAAAATAAATGTTTGCAAGAATCTTGTAGACATTCTTAAATATTATCAACCACTAAGATAGTACATTTACTTTTATGGTGGATTCAAACAGAAAACAAAAATTCTATAATCTTCGTCGAAAGATGCGTCAAGATAGAATTGTTTCATGATAAATTAACATTGATAATGCTTTATATGTGTGTACTCAAAGAAGGTTAAATAAAACATCTTACACAAAAAAAAAATTTTTCAGAAAATATTAGATAGATCAAGTATAGTTAAAAGATCTTTAGTAGACAACAATACGAAATATTGTGCGAACAATACTTTTATTAGAGCACTAGCAAATAAGGAGATATCTCTTTTCACATACGATATCTCGTGTGCCAACATTTTTTTGTCTCAGCGCGTCGATTGAAACGAAAGAGAACAGAAAGATATGCATGTGCGAAAAGAGATATCTCCTTATTTACTAGTGCTCTGTTGAAAAATAGATGTCATTTCTTTCAGAATGTACGAATGTTTTTTGTTAAATGAACATATTCATGTAACTGTATCAGAATTCTCAAAAGTTAATTACTCATACACCAGACAGAATGTGAACAGAATGACAAAACAGTGTTACATTTTATTCATCCTTAACGAGCTATACAAGAAGTTAGTTCTGTACAATAGACTGAAACATCAAAAATCCAGTTAAATGAATTGAAAACAAAATATCGCTATTAATCGATATTGATGTATGTCTAGTTTTAGCAAGTGATACGTACTTGTTTGATGTAATAGAATATCATCTCTAACCATTGCTGATGTTAATAAATAATGGCATATATCAAAATATGGGTACATGCGTAAACGAGATAACTGTAAACCGGCATCTATTAGTAGATCTTTATTCATTGTGGCTTATTTATTCTAATTATTTATTTGTATGTAAAGAGAGACAAAGAGAGCAAGTAGCATCATTCTAAATCATCTAGAAACAAATAAGAAACAAAGTTATCGATTAAACAGTAGAATTAAAGAAACTGATATATTAGAAGTTTCACTCTATATAGACGATCGCCTTCACCTCATTCATCTAAATGTTCTAATGTGAAAAGAACATAAATTTTTGTTTAAAATGCAATCTAAGACCACGCTAAAAACTTTAAAATTCAGATCCGAATTGGAAGACATAGATCTTTTATTGTGACAAATCCCGTTAGCATCAAAAGAGGAGAATGAAAATCACAAGTAGAATAACGCATATTCAACATAACAGCTGATTACTACAGGATACATCTTTTACAGTATTTAACTTAGCCATCAGCACTTTGTTATTGTCAATGCGTCTAAACATCATCAATATTCTATAGTATTTATATGTCTTGGTCTTTGTATAATTAGCACATTTTTCTTTAAAAAGTAGAATACTCGATCTCTACGTATGTAATGTAACCATAATAGAAAAAATTTCGCTCACTATCAGGCTTTCTAGCTAGAGAGAGAATGAGGGTGCTTTTGTCTTCGAAATTTGATGACTTTTCTACTCTGCTGTAAAGACTTTTTGGAGATCTGCGGGATTTTTTAGTCACAATGTGCTCTGTTGCAATAATTGGACTAATCGGAAGAGTTTGACAAAGCCAATAACGTCCACGTGTTAACCTTTTTGTACCGCTTAATAGTAAAATGTCACTTGTATACCTTATTTCCCTTTTTTCTGCATCCTTTCTTTTTAGCCCGTAAGATTAACATTTTTATTAGTTATCTCGATAGGAAAAAAACTGATTTTCTGCCATACAATAGCCCCTTCTACTCTCAAACCGAATCCGATGGTACAAATCACGTAATTCGAATAATGAAACATTTGTATCATGAATGAAATAAATACAATGACAATTTTCTATGTCTTTATCAATTGGATATTGTCTATCCATAAATAAGATACATCTTACCATTCTCTGATTCAAATAACACACATTATATTTTCAAATCATACTAACATTCTTCTTATTCTTCTTCTAATAATTCTCTATATATAACCAACGAACTGTCTACAATTATTTAATTTGTATATGTGTCTGACTGTGAAAAAAAAAGAGTTTTAGATACACCTGTTAGAACAGATAATCGTATAATCAAACAAGACTATGTACATTTTTAACACTAATCTGTCCATAATAATTTATCAATTAAATATGAATACGTCAATAATAAACAATAATTAGTAAATAAATAAAAATTGAAAAAAAGTAGAAATTGTTTCGACAATGTAACATTGGTACGTGGCATTAGACGACAATAGAATTATGCTTTATACGCAAGATTTGAATTGATGAGTATGTTGACGATGTAACGATAAACCCTTTTCTAATAAATATCAATTACAAACTAGATGAGATTAATAATGATAATAATAATAATAAGTAAAAATGTATTTGAATATGAATTAAATTTCGTGATGAACTCAATATTATTAAGAACAATAAAACATCTATACAACATGCTAGTTTTCTAGGAGTTAAACTAAAATATTTTTATCCTCAAAAAATAGAAAATTATCTCTATAGAAGAGAAATCTAGTATTTTTTTTTTTGTTAGTAGCATCACACGACCTTGATTATTGTCATTCTAATCTTTTCTTTTCTCTTATCTCAGTGTATATCCGTGTAATAAGCTTATTAACGTTGTTTGTCGAAAAAACAATTTTTTTCGAAAGAATATGAATGAAAAACTAATAACGATTAGTCGTTTTATCTCTCTCTTTAATATATATCAATGACAATTTCTATTAAGCAAATACGCACATTTATTCATGTCCAAATGCTTGATATTAGGCTTCCTTTTTGTATATTAACGTAGAACAAACGATGGAAAAACTTCATTTGATGTTAATGAGCAGACAAGTCATTCCAATGACGTGACGATGACGTACATTCTTTTCTTTTCTTTCATTCAGCACGTGTGCATTCTTATCTACCTCTGAGAAATGATATATCAATCATCGTCATCCTATCAAATCAATCATACTTTCATTCTTCTTCTTATTATTATTCAATTTTCCATAAAAACTACATATTTTTGTTTCATTCGACTAATACTGGTAAACAACAACAACACCACCAACAACAACAAAACACTCTCATCCATAGTTGTTTGTTTTAACTACAATATCTAATTTTTTATTTTTGTATCTATACACCGTACCCATGTTTTTGTATAGTACAACATAATGGTTATATATTATCTCGAATAGACAACAAAAGAAAGAATTTTTCTCAAATACATATGTCTGATACTATACATATAACGTAATTCTCTTGTTGTAGTACTTTAACATCCATGAAGATAAACTAGA